ATATCCTGGCTCTCTACATGTAGCTGAAGAAGAATTTTTATTACATACTGCTTATGTGTGACTATAATAACTAAAACATCTATAATGCCCACTGCTGAGCAAAGTTTCTTCTCACACAGAGAAGGTTTGAGCATTAATCACCACGCTTGCGCAAATCGGGTTGGCGATTTCAAACTTATATATAATTAGAAATTAGCCCAGGTTTCCTCGCTCCATCCACGATGTTTTCCTTCACCGGTTGTTAGTGCAGTAACTAACTTAAGTAATCTACTAACTACACATGTATCTCCAACTAACATAATATATATGTATCAGAGCCCGAACCAGGAAGACTCGCTTTTAGACTTTTGGGACCCAAAATTAATGTTTTACTTTCTTCTTACATAAAAAGTGCTTCATAATCGCACAGCACAAACTAAATCTATTTTTAAATATCGTGGAGTCTCGAATCGTACAATATAAACGGCTTTAGCCACCCCTCATTCAAGTGCATCGCATCTCATTCACATCACGATCCCCGACAGGGTTCAGTCGCTCATTTGCGAATTGATTTACATTCAAACATGGATATTTTGTTTGTTGCAGGATGAGCTCTGTGCAAGAAGAGAAAGTTCCTACCGAGGGACCGAAAACTCATGTACGGGAGTTGAGGAATACTGAATTGGTCTCGCGTCTTCTAGCAGCCACTCCACCTTATCTCTACAGCGCTTTACCGCTTCAGCCACATGCATTCTTCTTCAGTGAAATGCTTCGGTCTTTTGTGAATGCACGACACGGCTGCAGACCTCCGCACTACCATCGCCGCTTTAAGCGCCGAACGCACAAATATTTCGCCGAAAATGAGAACGATTGGCGACGTGAGTGGCCTAAACACGACGAAGAGAAGAAAGAGTCAGAGACGCGACCTGAAGTTCCTTTGGAGCTAACTGTGGACAAACATACGAGGGTCCGGGAGCCATCACCGCGCAGATTATCTCCAAAGGCTGAACAGGCTAAGCCGAGCAGCAGCCCTGATCCACCAGGTCGACAGTCTTCTTACGTAGACGTAGGAACAGAAGAACTTCCAAAGCCTTCTCCATGCGTCGGTCGAAGCACTGAGACGTCAGCGGTACCACAATCAAATCTAATTCTCCCCCCACCTCCACCAATGTGGTACCCACCTCTTTATAATCCTGGAGGTTTCGGTGTAGATCCGTTGAACTTCTTCATAGATCTACGTGTGTCTGGACACATTTACGATAGGAAGAGGGCTTTAGCTGAAGGGGTGGAGAATACACAAGACCCTGCTAGGGATGATGGTTTAGACAAGAGGCTTGCTAGAGACTTTGTTCAGCGACCTCGACATGTGTCAGCGTTCTCTGTTCCAGTTCGCTCAAGCAATGTTCCAGAATCAGAGAAGTATTTTGAGCACTCTGGTGCGAAGGTAGCAAGCAATACAAGTGGGACGTCGTACATCATGAGGAATCTCAAACGGGTGTACGAAGATGTTCATAATACGCAAGACGTCAAAGACAATGCCAAAGTCAGTAAGAATGATGATACCAAAGCCGAATCGTCAGATGTTGACGATGAAGATATTATAGATTAGAAATATTTATCTAAATGTAACCTATTTGAATATAATTAGGTATCCATAGCGTTTTGCTTAAACATTTTTGAAAGGATAAATGTTACTGAAACTTTGAAAACTTAACAAACCACAATATTCAATTATTATGAACACACACTGGAAATTGCTTTTTAAATTGACGATAAGTCGGAAGAAATTGAAACTGAAATAGTCATGTAATTGTTACCTACATATTTATTCATATTTCCGATTTAGGTATATGGCATTTTATATGGCATGCCAATCCAATTTATATGACATGTATGTAATGCCATTGTCCTACAATAGATACCTATATTATGTAGAATACGATATATCACACTAATATTATAAATGTGAAAGTTTCTTTGTTTGGATGTTAGTCCGTCAATCATGCTGAAACTACTGAACGGAATTTGATGAAATTTAGTGTATCGGCAGAGTATGGGTACACTTGGCTGATAGAATACCGATTAACTCGTCGAGTACCGGTTTTATAGACACAATTAAAGAACAATAGGTCGCGGTCACCGGTGACCGCTTGGTGTTTGACAGATTAAATGGGGTAAAACAGGAATCAAATTCTACGCGGACGAAGTTGCGGGCAACAGCTAGTATCCTATAATAATATGCAGCCACAATGCACCAGTTAAAAAATACGCTTGTCTGCACAAAAACTCTCGCATATTTTATAGTAAAAACTAAAAACAAAAAACAAATGATCTCAATGTCTAGTCTATAAATATTAAATAAATTATGTATAATTATAAATATTTAAATTATGTTTAGTTCTAATTATTATAATTAATATCAAATGTTACAAATAAACCCTGTTCGATCTGTGTACACAAATGTATTAAATAAATATACTTATGTTCTTTTTATTTTTATGGTGTGTGTACATATACAACACTTTTGAACCTATGTATTGTAAAATAATAGTAGGTGGGTACATATTTTTATTTCTTCATAATATTTTTAATATGAATATAATTATTTTTAATTTCAAGGATCAAGTCGATGAGGAAGGATGCATATGACTCTCACGACATCATATGCATCCTTATCATATAGATGATTGGCAAGCTACAACTGTGCGCTTCTCACGTAGCTTTCTGCCTCGCACGCTCGATGCTCGATCTGTAGTCGGCGATATTTCCGAACCGATACGACCTGCAAACCTTCAAGAAAAGAGCTTATTCCTTATTAAAAGGCCGGCAACGCACCTGTGACTCCTCTGGTGTTGCGGGTGTCCATGGGCGACGCTGATCGCTTACCATCAGGTGATCCGTCTGCTTGTTTGCCTCCTATTACATAAAAAAAGGACCGGATCGGACAGAGATTTTGTAACTGATTCTACTTACTTAGTCACTGAACTGTATAAAAATTGTAATGTATTGTACTTAATCTTTTTAATAATTAAATGTACCATGAATGTATCTAGTTATCAACCTAGTTAGAAATTGGGCAGTTTCCAGGGTATCGAAATTTAAAATCTAATTAGTCCGTCAGTAGATAATGAAAAAATATTAGACACGTATTTTTTATTTTCTTGTAATAGACTGCAGCCAAGCAGCGCCCAGTTGTATTATTACATCTCCAGACATAGTTGCAATACTTAGATAAAATGGCGCTAAGTTTAGGAGTTGGAGATTGTTACGTCATAACGTGCTACAAAATGTGGCACGCTGTGACGTTACACGATATTTCAAATTAGTCGAATTGTCGAAAGTATTTAATTTTGTGAGGAAAGAAAAAATACGTGTCTAAAGTTTTAAATTAATGTATCAGACGGAAATTAAAATAAAATTTAGGAAACTACCTACCCTATTATAATAAATTGTCCTCATATTAAATTTATCTGTATCTACACTTTGTTTTATTGGCTTATGTCCAAATACTCAAACGAAACTACATTTTAAGTCGCGCTTAACTCGTCGAGTACCGGTTTTATAGACACAATTAAAGAACAATAGGTCGCGGTCACCGGTGACCGCTTGGTGTTTGACAGTTTAAGAATAGTTCTGTCTCTACAAATTCTTTGTAAAATGATAGAGATAGCACGATATTTAAGTACTTACAATTTAAAATTGAGTAACCTTTCAGTATTCTGGCGTTTGGTACGTAAAATAATTATGTAAGTAGATACCTATATAATATAGACTGCCTCGTTGGACGAGTGATCGCAAGTGCGACTGCCGGGCTAGGTGTCTCGGGTTCGATTCCCGGTTCGTGCAAAGTACCAAAGTATATCTGGGTTTTAAAAAAAAATCTCATTAGTAGCACGGAGTCTGAAATTGTGCCCAGTATATGGCAATAGGCTCACCGGATGAGTCTCACCTCCTATTACATGAGACTCATTCATAACATACCTACATAGTGAAAATTGGGTGTAACATTGTAACGTGCACCTCTGCCTACCCCTTCGGGGATAAAAGACGTGATGATATGATGATGATGATGCAAAAAATAATTATCTCCTGTTGGTTTAGGGGACATGTGTAACTACCAATAATGAGGATTCGGGTTCGATTCCCGTTAATTGTGAGAATTTCAGTACCTAGATAATACGACAGTAGGTAGATTTACCCTCTATTATACGTTCACATAATTATTAAAGGACTCCTTTAACATAAGTGGTGTAAACTTTGTGTCACCTCTCTCTGGTACCTATTATGAAAGCGTGACGTCGCCACGAGGGAATTTCAAAAATCGATCATCCTTTACTCTTCACAGTAAGGTCCACTAAAAAAATCGAAAACGCACGAACTTGTTTTACACTTTATCCGATATAATAATAATATTATAATTTAGAATCAAGTCTTATCTCATCGCTTTACCACACTTATCTAATTTGTTTTGTGGGCTCTTCAAAATATCGTTATCAACGCCATCTATTGTCAGTCAGTTGAAATGCTTTACACTCCAACTCAAAGACCCTTAAATATTAAAGTTTATATTTGAGAATCGTAAAAATAAATTTGCTTTGATAAATTTTTAATAAATGTATTAATTTAAAAATAATTTAATGTTTTCTCTTTTTTGAAGCTGACAACAAACTAGAATTTATTTAATTGGCAATTGAATGTAAAATTTGACAGCCCTTTTAAAGTTGCTAGTGCTAAAACAAATATTGTTCTCTTCGTTGGTTCTGTGTATTTATCATTTATTCACTTTTTACTATTTTAAAAGCCAAATATTGATTGAGAAAATTATTAAAATTTTATAAAAATTGACTTATCAATAAGATTATTAATTTTGTGTGGAAGTATTTAATCAAAGTTAAATTTATTTATTCAGTCTGGCAACATTTCAGTCACCACGCGATTTTCGTGAATCTCTTGAAATTCGTAGATTTTCTGGAAGTATATTTTAGATTCACGGAATTTAATATAATAAAAGAACCATCAAAATGTTCGGCCAACAACCTATTTTAGTGCTCAGTAAGTATAAAAGTTTAATTGATGTGATATCATCGATGTAATTTGTGATTTCCATTCAACAGTGGTAAAACTCTTTCAGGCCAAAACACAAAACGTGACTCCGGCCGGAAAGTTCAACTGGAGAATATAAATGCTGGAAAGGTGAATTGATGCTAAACGTATTAGAAATTACAAATTTTCGTTACAAACTGCCGAATACAGTAGTAAAATCTTTATTATTGTGTGTATTTTAGACGATAGCCGACGTTATTCGAACATGCCTCGGACCACAGGCTATGTTGAAAATGTTGATGGACCCGATGGGAGGTATCGTGATGACCAACGACGGCAATGCTATCCTCCGTGAGATCACCGTGCAGCACCCGGCCGCTAAATCTATGATTGAAATCGCCAGAACACAAGATGAAGAGGTTAGAAAAATTACTGTTTCATTGGTTGTACCTCTAGAATCATAGATATAAATCCTTTGTTCTTATAGAAGGTAAAAAATGATCAAAATAATATTAGTAAACCGAATTGGTTCTTTGAAATAAGAAACTAACTGCTGGAATAAGTGGAATAATCTTTTCCTTTTTGTCACATAATTTTATGAATCATTTTGCTTGTCAACTTGTGTGTGGGAGTACTAAGTATAAGGTATGGTGCAGCAGTTTAATAATTTTAATAGTGTCAATATATTAATTTAAGGACCTTATACATAAGTCTATACCTAAGGGTTAACTAGATTTCAAATTACATTACATTCTTGTAAGTTTTCTCTGACAAAATAATTCTTCTAATGAACTGACACAAAATTGTAGTTATGTATTAAGTTTTATGATGATTATAATTTTTCATGTGTCCTTTTTGATTAGAGATTAAAAGGAATTTGGTTAGATATCGGTAATTTAGTAACACTCATTCAAACAGTATTAAATCGTAGGTTTTATAAGCTCTGCTTTAAAATCTTGTTTAAAATGTTGACATAACGAGATTTCTAATACAATATTTTACCTTAGGTGGGAGATGGCACAACATCAGTCATTGTCCTGGCTGGAGAGATGCTGGCTGTTGCTGAGCAGTTCCTCGTCCAGAATATCCACCCGACAGTCATCATCAGGGAGTACAGACAGGCTCTGGAAGACGCTGTCAAACTGCTGCAGGACAAGATCTCCATACCCATTGACTTGAATGATAGAGACAAGTTGAAGGAAGTTGTAAGTATTGTTGTACATTTGATTTATTAGTAGTGAATTTATTGTTTATAACTATTTTTCTTTATTTTGATGATTAATGTGAAAGTTGTGGTGGTGACAGACAATGTTGGACAAGATTCTAGTGACTATCTAGCTTGTATCTAGGGTCTGTAGTATATTAATCATGGAGTCCAAATGTCTAATCATGTGCATGTGCCGGTTTATCCCTTTATACTACTCATTGAGAGAAATAGTGAGCTGTTACATGTAAATGATTCGTACATTGTGGGCTAGATAGCTTGAATGAATAATAAAATTGCTTCTTGTTCAGAATTCTTTCAAAAACTTGTTCAGAATTCTTTTTTGTTCAGAACTTCAATTATACTCGTTTTGTGTTCCAGATATTTCTTTTAACCTAAATTTCTTATTCCAGATCCGTTCCTGTGTGGGCACAAAGTACATTGGTCGCTGGGCCGACCTCGCTGTAGATATTGCACTGGATGCTGTCAACACAGTTACTATCAATGACAATGGACGCATTGAAGTAGATATTAAAAAGTAAGTCTTCATAGAATAGTATATTCTTGCAATATTTATCAGAAGCATGATTTCTGTTCCTGTCTTTGCTTATTTTTTGCTAATAACTTTATGATGAGAAAAGTAATGGAGTAAATTGTTCATTTAAGCTATAAGCTATGTTAAAATAAAACTTATTGATACTACTTAGGGCTCTAAAAGGTGTTGAATCTGTTGCAGTTGGTAAAAAATCAACCCAAAGTTGATATTGAGACTGATAAGTACTTAACTTAGTGGTCCTATCTATGTCATTGAAATTTATCTTATAAGAATTTTTGAAGAACAAAGATACCATTTTAAAGTTCATAACTCCAGGCTACACAAGCATTTTTTATTATATAATATTAAATGTTCACTAACATCTCAAAAACTTTCAGCTATGCCAAAGTAGAGAAGATTCCAGGTGGTACTATTGAAGAGTCCAAAGTACTGAACGGAGTGATGTTCAACAAGGATGTGACTCACGCTAAGATGCGGCGTTACATCGAGAACCCTCGCATCATCCTGCTCGACTGCCCTCTTGAATACAAGAAGGGAGAGAGCCAGACCAACATTGAGATCTTGGGAGAACAGGTAAATTGTTATTATCAATGTCAGCCTTTTATCATCCTCCTACTCCTGCTAAATTAGAGTTTATTGAGAGTTTTGAATGATATCTACCTAACTAAGTGTAAAAATTTGAAATCTTTCAAGCAATACTTCTTTAAATTTTACACTTAGTGGCTTATAGCATTTCTGTCACATATTTATACTCAAATTAAACTGTGTAGCTATGTGTAAAAAAATGTAATCATGACTTTGTGTTATAAGAAAAACAATGACATACACATCACCTTATGTAATATGATTCTTACCAGATATATTACATTACTAGCTTTTACCCGCGGCTTCGCTCGCGTCACAAAAGGATAAAAAGTAGCTTATGTGACATATACCAATACATACAGCGCCATCTATACCAATACTTTTGTTTTCCTTCAGGAATATCAAATTTTTTCGGGATAAAAAATACCCTATTATTTAATTAGTTATGATAGTAGTATGTATATAGTTTATAAATAAATATATAAAAAATTCAGACTACTAACTTTACGTCTGCAAAAATTCAATGCAATCGGTTTAGTAGTTACGGCGTGAAGTCGGAACAAACAAACAAACAAACAAACTCACTTTCCGATTTATAATATTAGTAAGGATTCTTGACTATTTACTCGTTTTACTTATGAATTCAATATTATCGTCCAGGACTTCACAAGACTGCTTCAGTTGGAAGAGGAGCACGTTCAGCGTCAGTGTGAGGAGATCATCGCCCTCAAGCCAGACATTGTCTTCACAGAGAAGGGAATCTCTGACCTCGCGCAACACTACCTCGTTAAGGCTGGCATTACAGCTATTCGCAGGTAAAAAATTACTACTATTTAAACTCTATAAACTTGTTTTAAAATTTATATTTCTCTCATCTTTCTCGTTTGAATTCTTAACATAATAATATGCTACTGAAACATTCCCATACACGTCTATTTTTTTATAACCTAGTGTAGCCTTTTCACGCCCTTTTAGAAAACCAATTCGGCACAACTTTTACACAGCGCCATCTAGTGAATTTTAAAATCAATAGATACAACAACTGCACCCTTTCGTTATCTCCTCTTCGCCGATTGCAAGTGCAATTGGATTGGAATAGTTTAGTTTTAATTCTGTTAGAGGTCACTTTTAGAAAAAAAAAAACACTTCTTAAGAGTAGGAATGCTATAGAAATGTAGGTTTACTAAAATTCTTTGTAGTATCCTTCAGCATGCGCTGGGTGATAACTATTTGGCTTTTCTAAATATAATCAATCAATTATAATTAACATTTCATGAAATAGGACACGCATATAATTAGCGTTATAGTACTTATACTGCATTTCCTTCCACAATACATTGTGCATAAATCATAAAAATCTATATTTTTTTGCACAGACTTCGTAAAACCGACAACAACCGTTTGGCCCGTGCTTGCGGCGCCACCATCGTGAACCGCACTGAGGAGCTGAAGGAGTCTGACGTTGGAACCGCGGCCGGCAAGTTCGAGGTCAAGAAGATCGGAGACGAATACTTCACTTTCGTTACTGAATGCAAGAACCCTAAGGTATACTAAATAACGTTTTTTATTTACCATTTTTGATTGTCGAGGTTTCTTGCCAGACCGTTTTATCCAAGGACGTTGACACCACTGACATTTTGGTTCTTCCATCATTTTTAAGTCACATTACGTCGCCTTTTTTTCAATGTTTTAGTTTTATCTGGTTCATTTGAGTAGGAAAGTGAAGATTAAATCACACTTTTACTAACCAAACATGCATTGAATGAAAGCTTCTACTTTTCACCCTTCAAGCATATTGTCAAACAGTGACTTTAATACTAGACTTCGATTTGAATTACACTTGTATTACTGTGTCATGTAATTATTTTTATTGTGTAACTTACGAATAAACACAGTTCCTAACTTCCTGAGATTTCAAAGGATCAAAAAGTGTATGTTTTTGTGATCAAAATCAATCGGCGAAGCGTCACCGATTCGTGGCAGATGTCCTACTCACACTCACGAAGCTTTTCGCATAAAGCTTCCTTGTGCGTACTGCTAAGGAGTGGAATTCTTTGCTAGAGTCTGTGTTTCCTGAAGGGTGTCTTCAAGGCCCGAGTGAATAAGTTGCTTATGGGTTGATGTGCTTCATCGTAGACCGCATCATCGCTTACTACCAGGCGAGATAGGGGCAAACTTCGGCCAATCAAAATTCAAATATATACAAAAAGATCAAAACTTATACCTTATGTTCAGAAATTCAAGGTATCTTCTACTTAATTATGTTTACTTCACAGGCGTGTACCATCTTACTGCGCGGCGCGTCAAAGGACGTACTTAACGAGATTGAGAGGAATCTGCAGGACGCTCTACATGTTGCCAAGAACTTGGTAAGTAATAACTGGTTATTATTTATACCAAATCATGCACAGCAACATGACTGGAATTAATTATTGTTTTTCGGCTTACTCGTGTCATTATTTGACTAAGAACTCGACTAGTTTCAAACCATGTTTCTGAAGTAATAGTATAATAGTGACTGCTTCGGTCTTCGAGTGGTCACAAGTGCGACTGTTGGGCAAGGGGTCTCGGATTTTATTCTCAGGTGGGGCAAAATAAAACGGAGTTTAAAAAAATCTCAGTAGTAGCACGGAGTCTGGAATTGTGCCTATTGTGCCTGTATATGGCAATATACTCACCCCCTATTACATGAGACTCATAACATGACTCATAAATAGTGAAAAGTGGGTGTTACATTGTACAGTGGCATTAAGTGCCGTAATATGCACCTCTGCCTACCCCTTAGGGGATAAAAACCGTGAGTTATGTTCTGAAGTAATATTTAATGATGTATTTGGTACAGTATCTAAAATATATCATCTTCCGTTCTACTATCCCAAGGTGTTGGATAGCGCTATTTGCTATATCAGATAGACGTGAATACGACAAAGTTTCTCTTATTTCATATCTTTCCTCACCCAGAAAGGAAAGATATGGACATATACTATATGTCCTTTTTTGCTTGTAGTCAGCTAGCACTAATATATTGTATTCCAGGTCCTGAACCCGCGCCTGGTGGCGGGCGGCGGCGCGGTGGAGATGGCGGTGTCGCAGGCGCTGGCCGCCAACGCGGCGCACAACACGCCGTACCGCGCCGTCGCGCAGGCACTAGGTACGAATATATCGCTTTTCTAACAAACTTCGGGTCGCTTCCGTGTGATGCAGGGAAAAATAAATAGCTTAGTTTTTCATCAAAGTCAAAGTATTTATTATTTCAATTAAACCATAATTGGCTACTTTTGAAATATCAACGAATACAAAATAAATAATAGGCTGTCAATTTTTCCGTCAGTGAATCTAGGTGCTCATTCCAAAATGTAGATTCGAATGGAGAGTTAGAAGAATCACTGAGAAATTCCATCTGAGTTAGAGGTCACTGTGTCGATTTTAAGATAGATCAAAGTATTGTTGAGTTTATGATTGCCAAAATGCTGTGTAAAGTTACGGATTATCAAATTATTCTCAGTCTTAGATACAAATATGAAGTAGTTTGTCATCTTGCAGGTGATATGTGGTTGTTGTTTTAATACATGCAGTTGTTGTCATGTCTATTAGGAATTTGAATAAACAAGACATGTCATGACATTTTTCTTTTAGTTATCCTCTTACAAGACTTTCACTAAACAAACCCAAAATGACTTATAAAACACAATATATTCGTCTCCTTCCAGAGATAATCCCGCGCACGCTGGCCCAGAACTGTGGCGCGAACACTATCCGCACGCTGACGGCACTCCGCGCGCGACACGCCGCCGCCTGCAGCACGGCCGGCATCGACGGGGAGTCCGGGGACATCGTCGACATGGCCGTCAAGGGGATCTGGGAACCATTAGCTGTTAAACTGCAGGTAATTATTATTATATCAGTCACTTTATTTACTTTTTTAACATTGACACCCAGCTTTGAACTAATTCCATTCAACTGAATATGTTTTATATGGAATCTCGTTTAACACTGTGGAAAAAAAAAATTAGTCAACATAAGTAACACAAAAAAACAGTAGCCCTCATTGGCTACGTATCGTTTTTCTGTTCTCCGAACGAATTGGTTGTCCAGACTGCATATTACGAAAAAGAAAGACGTTCGTTCCTGACGGTAAATTCACTCTCGGTAGCTCTCATTGAAACTATATCTCCACATAAAGTACATTCACTTAACATTTGTCATCTTCCAGGTATACAAAACAGCAGTGGAAACAGCGATCCTACTCCTCAGAATTGACGACATCGTATCTGGCTCCAAGAAGAAGAACGGTAACGAGCCGGCCACGCCTTCACAGATGGCAGCCATGGAATAACACTAGCCTAGTTATAAACATTCTAATTTACTTGTGCGAGGACTAAATCTATAGCCACAACATACTCACACTGAAAACTACTATGGAAAATTTCCATAAAAAAAATCGTTTTGCATTTGACAGCTCGTTTGAAACGTCAAAGTAACGTAGTTGTGACGTCATAATTCGGTATTCAGCATTTTACAATTATGTAAAATGAATAATAACAAGAGTCTAATGAAATATGTTTTATTAAATAGTGAATACTATTTATTTGTTTATCCAATTCATTTTAGTTATAACGATGTCAGTTATGTATAAGCTTGTATGTCAGTTCACTAGCATTTGATTAAGTTTTCGTGAAAAGAACTTAGATATCGTTAGGTGTACATTTTTGGCCAGTTTTAGGTTGTTGTGCTCAGAACGCTAGCTCACCCAAGCACACCTTATACTCGAATCCATCCAAAAATACTATTAGTATATACTATAATAAGTAAGAATACTTATGTGTGAACGGCAAAAGACAGGCCTAATCCGAAAGAGTATTAAATCTATAGATTTAGTTCTTAAAACAATTTGGAACTGTATTAAATACCTAGTTTGTAATTGTCGTGCAACAGTACGGTGTTCTACAATACCTGTTACGCGATATGGTTTAGCTTTCGCATAATCTAGTGCTAACGATGCCTTAATTTAGAGTTCCAACACTAAATAATGTCTAATGTAATACTTACTCTACGTATCTTATTATTATTTATCACAATTTGTTTCGTCTGTACACAAGAGTGCATTTAAGTTCTTCAATGGCTATTTTAAAACTGAACAATAATAGTATTAAAGTTTTATATATCAATTATTTGGTTTTTTTCTTTCTGTGTTAGGCAAAGTTCTTATGTCTCACCTAAACCAAATAAGAAGCATTGATATTTTATATTAAACTTTTACTCACAATTTATACTCGTTTTATTTACTAATTGACAGGATAGTGCAGTTGTCTATGAAAATTAAATCAATTTTATTTAATTCCTCTGGTGTTGCGGGTGTCCATGGGTGGCGCTGATGGCTTACCATCAAGCGATTCGTCTGCTCGTCTGCCTTCTATACCTACCATAAAAAAAATTAAATGCGTAGTAATGCGCGAAACTTGAAAACTAAATCTCGTCAGATAGCAACTCGCATGCAAGGGTTTACAATTGCTAATGGTGTGATCGTGCGTCAACGAACTTCCTGCAACAAAAGGAATTTGTTGCGTTTTAACTTCATACTAGAATGCTATAATATGGCATGGAGAATGCCATAGTCGCCATAATAATATGTACTATTATAATAACTTTGTTTTTGGCTACAAAACTTTAAAATGAAGTAATTCAGGAATTCCTCGTAATTTGCAATATTCTTGTCCATTATTACATAATTATGTTACCAAAACTTGCTTCACTACATATTTGGGCAGCAAAAGGCGTGATGTTATATCAATGTAGCTTGATAATCTGTCATGAGTGGGTACAATGATACAGAGTTTCAGACGAAATCCAATGCCGGAATTAACAATAGAAAAATAATAAAATAATCAGATTATAACATTTATAATACGAAAAGTATTATGTGTGTATTTCCGTACATGATGGGAATTTAACTAAAATGTTAGATAACCTGTAATCTGCGCGCCATCAGATATGGGGCTCAGCAGAGAGCGTGGTGTCGCGACAGGCGACACGGTCGTATGTGCACATTGTTTGCCAAACATTATAAAAGTAATTACAGTTATTCGTATGTGTTTCCATTGATGTTTTTTTTTGAAGTATTATTATTCAGCTATTATAATTATTCATTATTAAAAAAGGCAATATTTTTACTTTTAATATAAACGTGGTTGCAAGATTTTCGACTAATTGAATGTTTTATTTTTCATATATTTATTTAAAATTTTCTATAAATTAGGTCCATTTTTAAATATCTACTACTTAACTACTAACAAAAACAAAAGTATATCTATATATAAACCACAGGAGCCGACCAGTACCGGGAGCATGGTCTAAGATACCGGTGGTTAGGGCTCCAGAGACAAACCTCCTCATGATACGTGCCGTTTATAGGACAATTTATTTGTATCACGCGTTGATCCATCCGCCATTAAGTATTTTGCTGTTCATTATTATTTTTGATTGTATGGTTTGCTGTAGCTGGATAACCGACTGATGCAGGTTCGATTCCAGCACTTTTGTGTAAGTAATCCACAAATTATTTTCCGACTCTTGGGTGTGATGTATATGTGAAGTTATGTGTTTATTTATAAACCCACTTACGACACAGGAGATAATTGTCAAGATAGGAATCGTCGTTTTTATTTAAAACTAAATCGATTCAACATGATAGATAAAGCTTTTATATGACTTATAGATAATCCAAGATAGTACAAGAGATTCTATCTTATTCCTAACATTGCATTGTAGTCTCAATACCTCAATACCTACTAACAATACTCAACATTTTCCCATCAACCGTATCACATAGATTTTCGACGTTGACAATGGAAACGGTGTTTGATTGTGTCCACGAACAATATGGTCGTGTGCCGTGACCGGAGTTAGGCAGGACCCTATCGCCATTACGCTGGCGAACTGTGCCGAGATAGGTGGCTGGTGACGATCATAGGATTATGCGAAGGTAAGGGTTTTTTAAATTATTAAATAGATAGGTACTTATTTATTTTGAGGTTATAATTTTAAGTATTTTGGCGCGTAACGAGTTTTATGTTTTTTTTTATTGTTCGTAATTTGAACTAAAGGCATTTGGTTATTCTGTTCTTTCTTTATGTCGGGCAGCTTTTTTGAACTCGTTTATCTCATGTTTAGATCAAAATGCTGCCTGGTACCTACCTATTGTAATTATTGCAGGTACTGTCTAAACGTAGTTGTAATGTAATTGTGTAGTAGATATAAAGGTAGTTTAGCAATGTAAATAATTTACATCCTTTGTTTTTTATTAAGGGTGATTTTACATGATAATTGCGTGATTTGAATGTGATATTGATTAGCAAGTCATTGCGTTTATCTTGCACCACATATCATGAATCAGACAGATTTGTTAGAAGGTAGTTAATATTGGATCTTCTGTGTTATGTGAAGAAGTCATGTCCGGGAAGAAGACTACGGATGGGAAAAAGGAACTTTCACTACTTTGCCATCCTTCTGCAACAGGCGCACGGGGTACGTACCTATAGGAGGAGAACAGATATTGCACACCTACGACTGCCTTAATGGGTCCGGGGATGGTGGACTAGGACAAGTCCTATCACCCCGTATTAAAGGTCCACGCGAACGTCCGTAGTGGATTACAAGGGTGGTAGAAAGTTCTACACTTAACGCCCTGGTGCGGATGGAGGGTGGAATGTTTTTCTTGCACTCCTGGGGTCACAGTGGTTTTAGTATGAGGACTTGGACTTCTCACTTAGGGTTGAAATAGACCAAATATTGTTATTATTATTCAGTATTTCGATTTCCAAAACTTGTGAAGTGTTATTCATTACATACTAGTAGGTATACTGTGGGTGTACTGTAAGGGTATATAGATACCTACCTATATCTATATAAACAATTTGGAATTAGCAGATACTCAGATAGCAGATTTAATTCGCGGATACTTTTTAAGACTGGTAGCCATATTGATTTTCTGATTGACGATTTGATCTGGTTAAGCCGATGATGAAGTCCACAGATATATTAAAGATGAAGTCAATAGATCAAATTACAAACATGTGTTCTATGCACTTCTAAACTGTACCTATATAAATATAACTAGGTTGAATGATCTAAGAACTTGGGTCGGATGATTATCTGTTGAAATAATTGTTGCTTTTGAGTTTTATGACGTCATTGCTGTCCACAAAATTTAGCTTCCGAAGCATTCATCATTCATGTGTCTGGTCAAGTCTGGTACTAATCTAGGTATGGACGACATAAATGAGTTATGATTAGCTTGTCCTTTGTCAATAGCTCACTAGTTAAGACGAGTGTCCCGGCCATTAATCTAATCTCCACTGTTAATCATATAACTACTAATTAACAATTTATTGGCAATAGGAATAAGTTACCTACATTTGTAGACCCAACATTTCAGTTTAACCAGCATATCTCCCAATCTAGGTACAGTAGCGTAACTACAGGGCGGTAAGTCGTCAAAAGACACGGCCCACAGCTGGAAACGACCCCAATTGGGTACTTTCCTTAATCAAAAATAAATTATTTAAAAAATAATTATACATTAATTAATTGATTTTATGACTAACTTCATTTTAGCATATTTCCAGCAAATTTTTAAGAAATAAGTAGGTATGCTGTTTGATGCTAAGAAAACTTAACACATAATTAATCTCGTACAAAATTCATAGAAAGTATTGAATCGGACTAGTTGGCATGTAACCAATTCAAAGGGTTTCATCTGAACGTCTCTCTTTTTTAGAGAACAGGGTCCCATCCGAAGAATTTGTCACGGGCCTCAAATGGTATATTTAAGCCACTGCTAACTAGGTAACCACGTGGCGAGCCAGCCAGTGTGTTCTGTTTATAAACCACGTGTGCCTTACTTACCCTTCATTATCTATTAAAGGCATACAGGTTACAGCAGACAAAATGAGCGAATTAATGTTCCGTGACCGAGTCCAATCATGGTAGTCTTAACATGTTAAACAACGTATAGGTTACGGTGACCGTTGTCAGCTGATGATTTGCTTTCGATAGTCAACAACAACCTTAACTTGAAGGCTCAAAGTACCTATGTACTTAGATACTTTAATCCAACATAAACAAATACACGTTCAGTTTAGTTCCTTAGAATAGATTAGAAATTAGAATAGGATAGGTCAAATATTTGTGACTGACTTAGTGATCAAAAGGCCTGCACTTGAAACGCCTCTGGTGTACCATGTCTCCATGGGCGACGTCGATTGCGTACCAGGCGACCCGTCGGCTCGTTTACCGGTTTAGGTATCACATAAAATCTGAGTATCTGTAACTACAAAC